CTGGAGAATACATTACTTGGAGAGGGACAGTGGCTGCTGAGGTAAGTAGCTTCCCAGAGATCTTCCCTTAAGCAAGCCTATTTAGAAGCATTTCAGCCAAGTAGCAAAGCTCTTGGGGGGAACGGGCAGAAAACAGCAAACCACTCATGAACTGTCTTACTACCTAAGGCTGTACAAAGCAGCCTAAAAATCTCACCCCTTTTCTTGTTTACTTGCATGTATGATTTGAATTGGCTTGACAATATGCTCTGTCTTTTTACGGACTCTTACGCATCCCTTTGCCACATGCTATATGAAAATCAAGTTCCTGGGCAGTAGCCCTTTACTTCCAGAAAAATCATTTGGTAATCCACTTTCCCACTGGGAGGAAAAAAAAAAAAAGTTTTGACATATATGCATGAGTCAACTTTCTGCAAGTTTGTGTACTAATAAAAAACCAAAACAATACGGAACTTTAATCATTCAGAAATTTTACTGTTTTACAATCTGACAGCATATAGTGCCAATATGCTAAAACACTCAATTCATATTTCCTCAATGGAAATTTAAATTGAACGCTTGCCTGCTTGTAGCTTACAAACAGTATTAAGCTGTAGACGGAAGAGGCTATTTCTTTAAAACACAACAGTAAATAGATAATTTTGTTGGAATATAGTTTGTTTTCATGCTTAAAGAGTGAAACCCAACCCAGTTAATTACATGTCATCGTTTGACTCCTGCATTAAGCCTGGAAAATCTGGAAAAAAAAAATCATGTTTTTGGAAAAGAGACCTTTTGCTCATGGTAGCTGGCTATTAAGGTAATACCACTTTTGCACTCAAAAATGACATCATACATAAGATCTCACTACACTTGTGAGCATTAAATCAGAATGTTCACTTTGCTTGTTGAGACTGTTTATGATTCCTGGCTAAAGACTGACTTCCTTCATTTATTCCAAAAAGGGGTAATACATCATAGGCACAAAAATGATTGTCCTAACTGCTCCGTGCACCATGCCAACTGTCCTTTCAACACTTCAGAGGGCCAGACCCTTCTGACTGAAAAAGTCGACTTTCTATGGCCAGTCTGTCAGATTTCTATCCTGGAAGAGCCAACAAGCAGTCAAATACTTAGCTGCTACCTACACAGCTAAGCCAATTGAAGAGGTCCATTACTGCCATCTGTGACAGGACACCTGAGAATTGCAACTTAAAAGCCTCTGACTTTGCCTGGAGTACAGACCATTAAGCAGATAAACTGGATTTTAAAAGTAAAATAAGAGATTTTGGCTATCATTTCCATAAACCAGACTTTCATTCTTCTCCTTCATCTTCAAGTAGGAGGTAACAGCATAATCTTGTTAGATAATGACAAAAATAAATCATCACAGAAACACAATATATGAACAGATTTCATGAACATGTAGCCCTTCAACAAATGAAGGAAGACATTACAGCCTGTTTTTTGACACAAAATGATTATGGTGCCTAGTAGATAAAACATCAAATAGAGTACAGCTTTAGACAACTCCGCACATGACATGCTTTGGCCATATTTATACAGCACTATTTGTAAAAACAAAACAAAAAAAAGCAAAAAACCCACAAAAAAACACCCACTTAGTCCACTTAGCTTGTGAGTGCATGCATACTATAAGAACTTAAATTTCAAAACTGCATCTAAAAAAAGTCCTTTAAAAAAATATATAAGCCAGAAATAAAAGAAGCCCTTTTTATTGTTATTCACCAGATCATTTCTAGTTGCTTCAGATTTATAGTATGTAAAGCCTTTGGTTTTAACAGAATTAATTCCAGCTTGCTTTTCAGAGCCCCCATTTATTTGGAATCAAGCAATAAAAGGCCAATTCTGAAACAAGAAAAGAAATGTCCTTCTATAATTATAAATCAGTTATTTACATCTTCATTGAAGGTACTATAATTTAAAATTCTCTGTACAGTTGCAATAAAATTGGAAGTCACCTCAAGAATAGTCTGTCTTTAAAGATCTAAAACATTATTTGCAGTAAAGTGGGTAGAGTGCGAAAGAATTGCTCCATTGAATTTGTATAGTATAAACATACAACCTAATGCAAAAATTTCAGTCCTTGACATTTTCCATACGTAAAATGCTCACCGTATTATGATTCTTTGATGAAGATAGTTGTCAGTTGAATTCTGTTGCTATAAATATAGCTGAGCAGTCCCTTAGAACATGTTTCTGAATTTATGATCTCATTACAACATTGAGCAATCTAGTAGAGTATAATCCAAATAAACCTCCATCAAATAGCTTCTGTATTTCTTGCTATATCAAAGTAGTCCACTGTGATTGTGTACAAAAATTGAAGTGGTTCTTGTTGCCATATTAGTTTGCTTAGATACAGAACTTTAAATATTTTAAGAAGTACTATGCAATATAGATTTAACACTGCATATTAGTTATTTTCTGCATGTCTTATGTAGTGTTCCAACATTCAGACATGAAGTAGAATAGAAAGATCCTTTCTTAAAAGCGTTACTTTTTTCTAAAAAAAATGATAGATTTATATGAAGTATAATAGTTTAATGCAACAGGTTAAAAAAGGATTTTTCCATCTGCCATTGACTTGGGACACTAGTTTTACAGTTAAAGATGCTTTTCCAATACATAATTATGCAGAATTCAACAAATGCATGTCCACTACTTCTAAAGAAACTGATACTATTTATCTATTTAGATAAGGATTTTTAAACAAAGAATATAAACTAAGCAATGATGATGAACACATGAACTCGGTCTAAAAACATGTCCAGTTTAGATACAGAACAAGATACAGTTTTGGGACTTTTAAAAATGACTAAGGATTTAGGTGCAACAGAAATACTGTCACGTTTGCAAGGCTCCTTATCAGTCCCTCAAATCTCTTGGGAGAAGTCGTCCTTGGCCAATTTATATTTTGTTTACTTTTTAAAGGGATGTCTTTTAAACTTAATCACAGTATCAAGAATGGATCAAAAGAACAGAATTACAAAAAAGATTGTTGTGAGATTTCTCTTCAGTGCATATGAACAAGGCTGAGTAGCTCTACATTAGTCCAACTGTTGTGTGAAGAATCCCTTATCGCTAAAGTATTGTTCTGAAAAATATACACATCCCTCCACGTAAATAAGCACGCCTAGATTTTCCAACAAACATTTCAATTGGGTTATCTACCCAGTGATCTTGAACATCCCATTCTTTGACTACAGATAATTACGCCATTATTGGTGTTTATATTTTTAGTGGAAAGCACAGCAGAGGTCTTGGAATACAAAAAAGTTTTTTTAAAACTATGTTACAGAGACTGGTGCAATTACTATGTCTCAATCTGAAAAATGTGATGCATACCACACAGATTATTAATATAGCTTTGCTTTAAAAGGAGTGGGGTTTCCAGTCTTTTCCCTTGTAACCCGGGTAAATGAAGTCCAAGATTGCCAAAGCCCACAGTGAATGAGTGTGCCTCGAAGAGCCTTGAAGTCTCAACACAGTTCTGGCAGCAACAAGATTTACTGGTTATCTCCTTCAACCCTTCTCTTGCGAACTGTGGTAAGAGAGAAAGTAGACTTTACTATTTTTTTAAATCACAAACTACTTTAAGCACTTCTACAACATCAGTAGTTAACTACTCTATGGCTTAAAATTTCACTTAGTGCAACTTAAGATTATTAAAACTTAGTGTTTTGCATCATTTACATTTATGCTTTAGCAATGCTTATTGTGTTATTCATGAACAACTTCAAGTATTTATGAGGAGAGACTAACAGGAAACAATCATTTTACATTTGGTTAGCAGATTTAACAAGCTACACGATTTTATATTGCCAGTTTCTAGTGGTGGTGAATTAAGTTTACATGACCTCAAAAGAAACAATACAAGAGGTTCACAGTACACCTTAATAAGATTTATACACTTAGCAAAAAAACAGGATATTATGTTCAATAGCCTATAAGCATTTTATTAATAAAAGTTATTCAATTGTCCGAAATTGCAAGAGTAACAACAATTTGTGAATAAAATCACCAAAGCTCACACGCTGCTTAGTTCGAAATATGCAAGATTCACTGAATGACTGGAGTTTTGCTCAATATTTGTAGTATTTTTGATACATTCTTTTTCCCTAACAAATTATGTTTGCTAGGGAAACAGAGGGAAAGTGGTTTTGTTTCTCCCTCCCTCTCTCAAGAAATGCTTTAAATAGTGTAAAATATCATCTGAGTGGGATAAACAATTTTCAATTAATGCTTTAAGTCTCATATTTAAAACACTAGAGCTTGACTCTGTATACAGCCAGTGTACTGCTTATTTTGAGAGTAATCCATAGACTTTTTAATCCTCATTTCAATCTGAATTGTTTTCTTCAGTGACAAAAGTTATTCATACTCGTTTTCACCAAATTGCAAGAACGGATGGAAAATATTCCAACTTTAGGCTTCTCCAATCGTGCAGTTAAAAGCAATTTGTACACAGTTTCAGACAAACAAGAACAGGGCAGTAATACAACAAACACTGTGAACAAGGTAGAAAGAGGCAGACTTAAAAAAAACAAAAAACAACAACAAACGTACAAAGACAGAGAGGTGAGATTTTAAACATCTCAGTTTTCAGTGCTCAATACCCAACTGGGCATTCAGAGTAACCTGTCTCTGTAGCTTCAGGGCTGGAGAGGTGAAAAGGCATTTGCAGAAATTTTTACTTGCATACTCCAGACTAAGAAAGCAAGGAAAAAAGGCAAGATATCAGTAGAAACATAGATTTCCAACAGTCAAATGCTAAAATGAGCGCTTGCAAAAAGAGAAGCCTTAACGACAGGAGAAAGACACTTGAAACATTATGACATAAAAAGTAGTTTTCCTGGAATCTATTTTGAGAAACAGTTCTGTAGTGCCTGTATGCCTTCCTTCTCCCTTTATGATCTATCTTAGCTATTACTCTCCTCCATCTCTTTTAGAGCTATTCTCTTCCACTTTGAACTTTACTCAGAGGGAAGCAGATCTTCAAATCAAACTCCGACTTCCTATGCGAGTCCCTCTCCTCTATTCCAGAACTACTGCTACAAAACTCCCTGGTCCCTTTTCACATCAAAAAGATGTGAAATCCTTACAACAGCACAAAGCATTTAAAGCCAAGAAGTTTAATTAAGCAGAATTTTAAAATGTAATTCTATTTAAATAGATTGGCCATATTATCCTAGGTATAGTCAAAAGTTTCAAATATTTCACATTATTATACAAATGATTTCTGTTCACATGTGCTATTATTAACCAATCTTCCACTGTCCATTTAGTTAGGATTCTAACAGATAAGCTCCAGCAAATTTTTCTGCTGTCAGTTAAGATGTCACTGCTACCAGCTGCCTTTAACATAGAGGTAGGGAAGATAACTGTGCATTAACAGAACCATAAGGGAACAGGCGACCCAATTCCAAGCACTGCAGATTAGACGGACAGTTCGGGCTCTGCATTTCAAATAAGATTGGGTATACGAGCAGGGAGGAGAGCATCTTACAATAATAATTTCAAGTTGTGCTTTTAAAGGAAGAATGAATTTTATCCGAATCAAAACTGAATGATCAAAACTACCTCCCTTTGCCACAACTTACCTGTAATTCAAATGTTCTTCCTTGTTCTAGACTATTCCAAAAAGTCCAAAACTCATACACCTGAACACCCCATAAAAAATAAAAGGCGAACACCAAGCAGCAAACAAGAATAGGAGTAAAGCACAGAAGAAGTCTGAAACATATTTACTCACATTTTGCTATCATTATTATGTTACAAATACAGAAGAAAACCACCTGCAGAACCTGTGCCATATTCATTTGATAGTCACGGGTCTTACCCAAATCATTATTTTTTGTGATAGCTGCAGCTGCCCTGGCTCGAGGTCCCTGCTGTGTGAACTGGTATCCAAATTTAAGAATCTTGGTGTTTTCTTCAAGCATCTTGGCAATCTCCACTTCTGCAATCGTTCCCAACTGCTGCCTCTATTACCATAAAGGATAGAAGACATTAGAAGTTAGGTTTATTCACTCCTCACAAAAAAAATAGCAGAATACTTTCATCCTATTAGTCAGTAAGTATTAATCTGAAAGCATAAGCTCGTAACGCTTGCTTGTCCACTTTATAGCAGCAGCAAGCACAGATGTGACCAGGAACCAACTTCAACTGGATGCTTATGAGACCCTTAAAACCAATCATGCATAGGGTTACGGGATTTAAAAGTAAACTATTTTGGGAAGTTTATCACAAGCTACCATCTAAAAATATGCAGCCAATTAGGGTAGACAGTGCACCGATATTGATTTTAATTATGATATTACCCCCACCTCACCTACCTGGTTATCGATTTTGATCTCCGTTAACGTTTCATTGTCTTTCAGTGCATCAACCAGTGCCAAAATTCCAACTCCAGTGATGAAATTTGATTCTATGTTTAAACTTTTTAATTTTGTGTTTACCTTCAACATATCTGCAAGAGCCTTGGAATGCAAGAAAGCATTATTAAAACTTTGAATTGTGCTAGATTACATCAAACCAATGGACAGACAGTGATAACTATTTTCACTAACTAGTTCAGTAGGAGCAACATGTAGAGTTACACTATGCATTTATGAACAAGTTTGCACTTGTTATTTGAGAATGAAGTGAGTGTTCAACTAGGCTTTATCTACATTTCCCTGTTTAAGAAGAGGCCTGTCTTATTCTTGTTACAAGCTAAAAACCTACACAGAATATAAATTGTCTGAAATTAGCATATTGGACCAATTCCATTTGGTAAGCCTTCAGAGCATACAATGAGTAATGCAAGCTGCTAAGTAGTAAAGGACAAAATAAAGGGGGTTTAGTCAACTGAAAGGAGAATTAGATATGGTTAATTTGTAAACAGGACATTTGACTTTCAGAATACTTCTGTCTGCTGATTTAAGTACTAAACTGCAAAGCCTTGAAAGCGATAATAATACATACCTAAAAAGTACTTAAATGGAAATGGCAAATACCTGATCCTATTTCTAAGGAAACAAAAACAGGTAACTCCTGACACTTACTAGCATAAAAAAACATAACCTTTAATTTTTGGGGGTTAAATTACAATGCAAAAACAAACAAACAAAGAATACTCTACACTTCATTACAAAATGCTTCAGTTCTACTGAAAAGGAATGTTTTAATTGACCCAAAACATAGCTTTCAAATGTTCATTTAACAGACTGTTTCAAATTTGTTTTCTTTCCAATCTGAAATTAAAACAAATGCAAAGGATTGTCCCAGAAAAAACATTTAATGCTGTTTTCTTACCTCTTTTTTTCAGTCAAAAAAAGCACTGCTTATGATTCAACATACAAAAAAACCCAAGACTAGATGATAAATACTCAGCTTTCAGTTGTGTCAGTCTAGATACCCTTCACTAATATCATGCTTAATATACCATTGCTTTAGGTCAATCTTTGGTAGCAGGGAGATCAGAGAGAAATACATATTTTACAATTCAACTACAGTTAGTTGAAAAATATTACGAACTTTTCAGTTCTCAAGTGTGTTTCTTATGTTAGTTTTGAACATACTACTGACTCGTGGAATGAATGTTGGTAAATGATTAGGAAGGAAGAACAGGAAGGAGGTTAGCAAAATGATTTTTAGGTGAAAAATCAGGAGAAGGGATTTAAAAAAAAAATCAGTTCTTATTCATCTCATACATCTTACTGTGTATTTGTGAACTAGTAAGTATTTAACAACTTTGATACAACAAAGGTCTGTCAAAAAAACAGAAAACATACTTTATGATCTAAAAGTAGTTAATCATTTTCATCCCCAAGTATTTAAACAGGATTCAGTTCAATCCCTCACCAGTTTCTTTCCAGACTAACTTCCCTTGTTCCCCACTTAAACACATTAGCAAAAAAAACCCAGCTCACTTACAACAGCAACAGGATCATTACTTCGGGTGGCTGCAAGGCTAAAAGTCTTCACATGTGTGTTGGTTTCTAAGGCTTTTGCAAACTCTTTCAGTGTTGGAATTGGGATGTTCTTGAATTAAAAACAGCATTTTAAACTCTTGAGATATTTATTGTTATGTTTATTACCCCTATTACCCCTCCCCTCAACATATCCTTTTTTTTTTTTTTTTTAAACAGCTAAATTCACTATAATATTAACTATCACTGGCCTTAAACAGTCTCACAATAAAGGCCTAGATACGAGGCAGAGCTGCATTTAAGACTCAAAGGCTGTTAAAGTCACCAGTTCTATAAAAAGTCACCTTTACTATACAGAGGTCGTGGCCACAGTAAAAGTGTTAAAAACAATTTCTATATGACTTTGAACTGTTCCAAAAAGCAGAATTTACCCAAACAATTCAAGAATTAGTCCTTTTTCTCATCAATATAACAAAAAAGATTTAAGCTGATGAAACCAATAGAATGTCATCCTCTGTGTTCTACTAAAAGTAATTCCAGAATATGCCAATTTACAGTTTGATAATGATTGCAGTTTAGTAGCAACCAAACATAAAAGGAATACTGTTAGATAATCACATTAATTAGGATAGCAAATCTCTCAATTTATTATATTAGTGTACTTCTGTTACCTTTTTAGGCAGTTATTTTGTCTGGTATTTCTCTCTACTGTACGATAGTCTTAAACCACAAGTTGTATTCTCTGCCTTTGGTGCGAGCAGTAAATAGCCTGGATTAACATATTGCTCTTTACATTGTAAGACAAAACGTTACACTTCTGTTTTCGTTCATATAAATAAAAGTTTTAGGCCTGTTTAAAAACACAACTGTTACATCTATGAGCAGAAACGCCTCTAATTGCTGACAGCTCTTTTGTACAAGAATCAAAAGGATCTTAGGTACAAATATGACTTTGTTTGCAATAGCAGTAACTGAGAACGCATTCCTCCATAAAGAACAACGGATTCATAGTAGTAGTTAACTCCATGATGGTGAACTGCTGGAACTGTCACCAACTCGGCAGCCACAGAAATCTGGGCTGCAGTAAGAAGTTCTGAGACTTTTTAAATACACATTTGGCAAAAGATACTAAAATAGCTTATCATTTTACCTCCAGGTTTCCAATTTGAGATTACACACATCGCAATATTTAGCGGAAAGGCTGCCACAGATAACGTACACCTCTAAGACTATCTTACAGAATTTCACAAGTTAAAGTGTCTTCTACTGAGAAAAGGCAGTGTATTTATTGTAGACTTCAGGTAATTACCTTAATATTATTTAGATTAACTTCAACAAGACGGGAATCATTATCTTTAATCCTTTGCAATGTCTCCTCCACATTCGTGGGGTTTGGCGGTTCATCAAAAACTGGCAACATTTTCTCACCTTTTACTACATCTGAAAAGTAAGGCACATAATTGAAATTAAACAGGTCACATGTATTTGCATAGCAAGTAATACACATACTAAATATTAACTGTATTTAAAGGTCATTTGATCAGTCTTTACATCTCTCCACTTAAAAATATACCATCTTCTCCTGACCCTACTTTCATAAAGTTCAATCCTTTTCCAAAGGCCTTGACAGCCTCATTTTGGTTTTGTCGCACACCACTTTTTCCAGAAAGCACACAGGAACTGATTTACAAACACAAACATGAAGCCTAAAAACCAAGACACACTAATGAGCTTGCACCGACTTTCGCCCCAAAGTGGATTAACTGCAGAACAGGTTTTACTATAGAGACATTATTTTACTTCCACCCTTGCCATAACTCAACTACTACTGTTACAGACATGCATGTTTCCAATTCAAAACTGACCACTATCAAGAATGCTAGTGTAACAGAAAATAATGCTATAGTAACCACTGTGTGCACTACAAAGAACTCATTTATTTAGTACTTGCATAAATGCTTACCTGAGAAGTTGTCTTTGCCAACCCCATTACTGCTTCCTACTACATCACAGAACTGATTGTTTGTTATCAAGTTGGACATTCCCAGTATAGCTAGAAAAAAAAAAAAAGACAAAACAATTATACTGTTCCTGGCTAATTCAGCTCAGAAGTAGAGTTCCTTTAAAAAACAACAGATGTGTGTAAAACACCAGATCAGTAAAATAATCCATTTAAATCCCTTAATAACTTAAAGAAAAGTAGAAATAACTTTCATTAAAGACGGACTTTTTAGTTGCCTCTCACCTAGAAAGGCTGTCAACCTCACCAAGTTCAGGCATCAGAGTTAAAAAGTATAGGTTAGTCATGACATCATAATGCACAAAACTCTTGACTGAAACTTAGGAATCCAGTTCTACAAAGCAAATAGCAACATATTCTTCTATGTAAGAAAAAGCAGTAGCGTACACATAACAAAAACCCCTCAGTCTGAAGGATAAGCTTAAGGTGTTTGATTTTCAAACTCAAAATCCACAGGCAGGTTAAATATTTTGGCCTGCTAAAAGCTAGCACAAATCCACAAAGATGATGTGCTACAAGCAAATTGGCACATAACTTGATCTAGTTTCTACCACAACTACAACTTCATATAGTCAAGTTTCAGATTACAAATATACCATAACATTAATTATAAGAGCATTCTTGTCTGAATAGGCACTCACCTATTCACACTTTAAAAAGCTCACCTGCAAGATCACATAATTCTGTATCTGTGGCACTTGTCAAGGCTTCCTCCAATTCTGGATCAAGAGAGATTTTTTCTTCAGTATAAGACTGTACAGGCTTTTGTTTGGGGATAAATATTTTCCCTGGAGTAAAGAAAATGAGAAGTCTGATATTACTTTGTATTATATAACTATTTATCCTTAAACTTTTCTATACTTATGGAGTACATAATACATTTACTAAGTCTTGAGAACGAGAGCAGCAGGAACAGCATTAAGGAATGAGGTTTCTTCTGTTTGTCCTTGAAAGTCAGAGACGAGAAAAGGGCATAAACAGGAATCCCACATTACTTACAATTCTAGATTTGCAGTGAGAAGAAGCAAATAAGATTACAGGAGTCTGTAACCTAAGCATTGGAAAGTATCATATAAGCCTACATTAAAAATTTTAAACACCCTAGAAAAAGGGCCTGTAAAGACAATTCAGTATTCCTAGAAAACGATGACTGATATGTTTATCTGCATCAACGGAGAAAGGCACCCATGCAGAGCTGTAACTTGAATATGTCGGATAAGTGAGATATGCAAGAACCATCTGAAAACATGGACCAGAATATTCACTGCAATTTTACAGCATAGCTTCTGATTTTGGACATTAACTGAATTTTAAAACAAAAAAAGGGATGTCTTGAGCTGTTTAAGAAAACCAAAGTTTCTGGGTAGCAGAAAACAGGATACTAGATTTGCATCCTAACACAAACTGCCAAAGAGGCTATTTTCTAAACTATAGAAAGTCACAGAAGATACTTGACTTATAGAAAGGTCACAGAAGATTCAAAGAGGGGCGGGGGGGGGGGGGAGGGGAAGCAGTAGTAATATCCCATTCTTCAACAATCTTTTAGCCATTACAGACAGATAACGGGAAAAGTTATTTTAGGGGGCGTGCATTGTAAATAGAAGTCTGGAAAGTCAGCATAATCTCTGCTGAAAAGTTAGCCTAAGAATCAGAAAATGAGTTACTCGGTTATTCTTAAACAGTTATTCTTAAAACAGTTCAGATTGAATGATTTAGAGCTAGTCTACCAGAACAAAAAGGTCTACAACAGCATAAAATCGACAGGAGGCAACGGATACTTAGTTCCGGGACAAATTAATGTGGTAAATAGAAAGCTTTGGTACTATATGACAGAACAACAATCCATTTGAGAAGTGATTCATGCAACTAGAATACCATTAATCTAATCTTAATAGTTTTTCAAACTTTTTGCATATAGTTAAAGATCGAGAAAAATGAGAGAAAGATTGAGAGAAAGACTGTATTTTTGTATATATACATACACACACATATATATTATACGTGCGCACACACACACTAGTCTAATGACTTTAATAAGATGCAATTTACCAGACCAAAGAAAAACATACTAGATCTTGGCTGTTGGTATCTCTGTAAAACACCTGATGCATCATTCAACATTTGCACTCAGCTTCTTTGCCTTAGCTGTTAGAAGATAGAAAACTGTGGGAAATTGGTTCCAACTTTCTTTAAACTATTTCCCAAGGTAGGAAGTGGTACAATAATCTTCCTATAAAGTCTCAGTGCTAATCCAGCAACTCAGCTTCTTCCCTATTCATCTCTAAAAACATGCAGACATACGTTCAAATGAATCATTCTAGCTCATTCCAATTACCCGACAACACCACCCAGACTAGAATCAGACTAGCTGGTCAGAGGCCAGAAGTCTATTTCCCTCATGCTGGATACAAATGTATCTTGTTGCATGTTTCGACTAAGTTAACGTTTTTAAATACCTCCTAGAGACAAGAAACTTCATAGGCATGTTTCAGTTTTAATTCTCAGAAATTCAGATAAATCAGGATTTTGATTTCAACATTTCTGGAAACCAGTATCTGAAGTTAGATTCCAGGTTCTAGAGCAAAAACAAACATAATAAAAATCCATCCACCTTTTCTCTCTTCCCCCAAATTTCCATCTTAGATTACAATAGTTTGTGAATCATTTTCATTTTAAAGGAAATTATGTATTACTGCTAACACAGATTAGATAGAAGCATATCAATTTTTTCTCCTTAACACCACAATATGGCAACAAAGACTTGTTGCTAGCAACACTATTTTTGTTTTGGGGTTGCTATCACTTCGGAAAGTTGTATAAATGGTCATTATCCATTTTTAGAACAATAAAATAAATCTCCTTATGTAACTATACTGACTTACAAACAGTAGCTGAAACCTGCTGAAATGGCTTTCCAAAGATACCACCATTTTGATGGACAGTGCAAAATAAACTGGTGATTCAAGATTAATAGAAGACTTCATAAACAGAAGGTTTGGGTGAAAAACATACACAATTACATCTTACAGTGCAGTTGTCAACATCTGAAAAGTAGCACAGGAATCTGCTTTTAGCAGTATTGTGGGATCTTTCCTCACACAGTCTTAACTGGTTCATCTAAGCCTCTCCTTCTGTTCATTTCAGAAAGAAATGCAAGAAGTAATCCAGTCACCCATCTTCAGATCACCATTAATGCTTCAGTTATACTAATGCTTCAGGCTTATCTCTGTGAATAATTAAAAACAAAAAACAAAACACACAACCAAACCTCACCACCCTATTATTCCTTTCAAATCCATTCAGCTACCGACTCTTGTGCCCTCTCCTACCACAAGCATTTGTGCAGCAGGCAGGAAGCAGGTGAAGGAAACTGGTCTCAATTAAAAGTAACTTTTTAACAATGTACTTATTATACCAGGTTAACTTCAACTTGAACCAGAGACCAGTCTGGTTCACCACACAGCCCCTACAAACAAGGGCTACTTTTTCTGTTGTCAACTTCAGCAATTCTTAAATTCACAGGTTTAGGAACCTCAGTTTCTAGAAGTTCGCTTCTGAAAAGAGTAAGGACTGACTTTATTCATACTTGCTTAAATCTTAAGATAACTTAATAAACATTAAAAAAAGCAGGAGAGGGATAAAGTATATAACAATTTCTTCATCCAAACAAATGTAAACATCAGCTAGCACACTTAACATCCGTAGACTTTAAGCCAACACTTCAGCTTTGGCTAAAGCAAAAACGTTAAAAGCTGCTCCCCTCCAGCAGTGTTAATTACAGCCAACTTCAGTCTCGTCAACTAGGTCAGGAGCAGTTTTTGTTATAAAACAGGTAACACCTTTGTGTATATAATCTCTCATTTACCAGTTTCATCTCACCCTAGCCCAGAGTTCAGAGATTTATAATGCACACACAAAAGCAGCTGTCTCTCCCTGCTCCCCTCTTCCAATTAATGAACAAATACTTCAAAAAGAGTAAGACATCTGTATCTTAGGAGACAACAATCTGAACTCAAGGCCTCTTTCCAAGAGGGATTTGGGCCCCCCCCCCACCTCCTTACTATTGCAAGGGTGCATTTTCGTCGTTGTTTCTGAAAAAAAGAATACATATCTGCACAGTCCATAAGACAAATAGCTTTCTTGGCCCTTAAGTGGAAGATTTCCAAATAGCAGGGATTTGATCACATGAAGAAACATGATATCCTGGTTATTTTTAAGCTAAGGACACCGCAAATTTCAAACAATGTAATATAAAGAGGCAAATTTCAGAGATGTTCATGTAGTAGTTTCTGTAATAATTATATATTCTGATCTTTTATGTCTTTAGCTACTACATTAAATGATGCACATGTTGGGGTTAATTCTAAAACAGGCTTTCCTTGCAATAGAATGAAAGGAGTTCTGAGTCACACACTACTACTGCACTGTTCAAAAGCCAGAAAAGCTGGATCGTGTCTACTGAGAGGTGCTAGACATTACATACAGAATGACAATATATAAGATAAGACTGAAAGTCTTGCAAAAGTCAGATGCATTCAGCATATACACGCACTTCTATATCATTGGTACTATTCTTACACCCATGAAAGCGCAATCCAGCACTCATTCTAGCTGGTTGCTTGCTAGCTGATCAGAAGACAGTCTAAAATGAATTTTGCAGTATTCTGTTTGCGGAAAAGGAATTCAGTGTCACCCGAGTACGACTGAATACAATATCCTATCAACAGTGACTCCATTAATAAGAACGAAGAGCAATACTTGACATATTCTATATATCTTATGCTTAACGAAGAGATTTCATCAAAACAAAATCCACAATTCATCAATCATTAATTCTTACTATGAGACAGAGGTTCATCAGCTCACTTGTGAGTACAAATTAATACTGATTTTCTAAATTCAATTGACAAGCAGCTTCCTCAGTCTCACACTGCAGAGCCCATACTGTTTTTTGTTAGCTGTTTACAGAACACATAGCAGTGAGTTAGAAAACTGTTTTACATTAAGGCTAGTAGAACATGTTATTTTGTTCCAGTGCTCTTGTATGGAGAATGTCAGTACGACAAGTTGTTTCTTCAGAGCTCTTACAGGATCTTAACTTCATTTCACAGCACATAATATACATTTTCTTTAAAGACCAATGATTGTTTGAAAGGCAAATAGAGAATACAGCATCCCAAATTCTGCTGCAACAAAAGCAAACTAATCTAGATCAACACAAGCCAACTGTACAGGTCAATCCCAACAAGCTCTAGACAGGTGACTACAATTTTAGCCTAACAATGTTTTTTTTCCCCTGCTCTTTCAGCCAGAAATGTTAAAGCTGAAAAAGTTATATGAAAAGCAAATCTACACAGAACAAGCTTATTTTAGTAAGAACGTAGATGAAGAATCTGTAGGAAAATGGCACAATTAGAAGAGCACAAAACACTGAAATACATAGCTTAGTTTATATAATATTTTGCTAATTCCTTGCACTCCACAGCACAAAGCACATTATAAGTGTTAGATGTGCTTTTGTCCCACATTAAGCGCTATAATTCTCATATGTTGCTGTTCAAAAAGAAATGAGGAGCCTATGTGATTGGCTTAGATGTATGGAATACATTTCAGAGCAACTTAGAGCTTAAGTCTAGCTTCACCATTCAGATAAAAGATCCTTCTCTTTGCAAGCGTCTTGTAAAATTCTTATTACATCTTTATGTAAAGAGATTGAGACAAAACTAGTTTTGTTGAGGTTACTTTTTTTTTTAGTGGCATTTCATGAAAAAGTTGGTTTCATGAATGTCTTGGCCTCAATTATTTTCTCAAGCAACAATGGTTTACTATATGGTTCAACACTTGGAACAGAATGTGACTTAAGTCCTTAAATCTTGTTTAAAAGTATGTTTTTTGTTTTTTTTTTAAATACACAGCATTCTTTTAGAAACTAAATCAGGCACCTGAAAATGCAATATAATAATTTAGGGGTTTTTAGCTTCACATAACTTTAGTTAGTTCATCTCATTACACCAGGATGCTTTACATGACTTCAGATCTGCTGTGCTTCACAACACATAGCAATAACCACCAAAGCTGTATAAGAATCACGTCACCTATCAGTGAGAGATTCAACATTGTCTTTATAACGCATATTACCTCAAAATGATTAAGCAAACCGCGAAAGAGAATCTTCATTTACATTGAAGTAGGGAAACAAGATTACCAGAATCTATAGTAAGTAAGGATGCTTAAAGTTAATCCACAGTGAGCTTCCTGGATAAACCTGGAGGCCAAATCATCACTGAGATTTAGTTCTGCTAGAATGGGAAAGGAAAAAAAACAAAAAAGGATAGATTTCCCCCTTCTTACTCCATATAATGAATAATTAAGACTAAACTAGACCAGCTAGACATACAGAACTAAGAAAGTGCTTCTCATCAAGTCAATGGGAAGACTACAATCCAAAGCAAAGATTTAAAATACCAGACTTTAATAAAAGTTTCTTGCAACATTAACTATGTAACTATTAACTAATAACAACAATGCAATCTTATTAAAAAGTATCTTTCTGTGAAGATATTAGAAAGACAACATGACTGCATAGACCACTTACCTGACCTTACTGATCTGCAGCATCTTTGATTATTTGGTATCTACCATGGTAAATCATTCTGATGCTATATTTTAAATTCAGCATAGTATTACAAACGCTATTATTTGTCCTCAGCAGCCCAGGGCACTAGCCACAGACACAACAGCATTTTTTATTACTGACACCAATTAGGGACAGCTCTTATGTTGGGGATACATCAGAACTTTGCAACTTCTGATAAAATCTTTCAGTCTTATTTCCTTCCCACAATACGTGCAAATGGCACACCAACCCCAGCACCACCACACACTTGAACAGGAAGTATTCTGCCTCTGCACAGCAGCACTCATTGGGAAATGCCACCAGCTGAAAAGCATTAGAGCTGCCACTCCTTCAATAAACTTTGGTTCAGAGGAGTTCTGGCTGGTCCACTTCAGAAATTTCATAATCATCTACACAGAAAAGGGTGTTGTTACCTTTCTTTTCTCTTGTAAAAGGCACATAATCTTCCCTGTCTTTGTGATCAAGAGCCTGTTTCTCCAAATACGCAAGGAGTCGTTCCCTGTCAAAAGGACCTGAAGCCTTTTTAGCTGTCTGGTCTTTCTGTCGGAAGCCTGCAGGCAGAAGCGCGTTCTACAAAACAAAATGGAGCAAACAAATACAGCTTTAAAAAAAATCTTAGTGAACACCTGTTTAGATTAATTCCCCCCTCTTCCTTCTCCCCTCCCCAAGGTTCAAACCCAATACCTCATACTTTTTAGGCTATCTTGAATTCCGTGACAACTTTCTTTTCTGGTAGGGTATCTATTCTTCAGATACCAATGATTTAATTAAAGGTAGAGCATACTGCACGCTCAGTAGAACTGAAGCAATTCTTTCTTAAGCACAGCTCCCAGCACTAGAATTGCTAGTTATTTTGCATTTCTTTTCCAGAATGAACTGTTTAGATGGGGAAGGGTAAATAAAATGCATCTATTTACAGTTTAGACATACAGTAAGGCGGCTGCTTCTTCTACCACTAAAGACATATGTTTCTATGTCTTGAAGACTACTGCCTATTCTATTCTCAGTCAGTTAGCTATACAGATATGTATTTCTACTTTTGAGACTAAATTTTTTTGCTACTATCATCCTATTTCTGTTGGGGGAAAAAAATAGGGGGGGGGAAAAAAGGATATGCATACTGAAAGAATAGAACATGAGGAATTACAGACTGTCATAAAAAATGACCAACCACTTTTGCCAG